TGCTCGCCAAATAAAATGTTGTTTTCAAATTGAGTTTCTAATTTTATTTATATGGTTAGATTTAGTTTATATATATTTTTTTATTTTATTAGATGAAGTAGAAAACTGAATATTTTCCCAGACATTATTCCGAGGCAAAACAAATTTTTCGGAATGGATGTACTTGTATTACATGGGGGCAAAATATACTATGACATTTGGGAAAAATAACTGATAAGAGTTTTAATAGTATGAAAGTACTATTGTATTTGGCAAAGATAATTGATTTCCATTGTCGAGCTATTTTTGTAATTGAAGTTGGAAATAAAAATATATTTGGCAAAGTTTTTTTTACACCGAAGGTGTTTTTTGAAGTAGATTTTAGAATATGAATGAACAAACAACACTTTTTTACAATAAAAAAATTATTATACTTCAATACCGGCCGCTGACGTAAATAAATTATGAGAAAAAAATCGATCAAAGTAAATATTTACGTAAACCTATGCATGGGTGGCGGCTCGTTTATGGACACGATTTTCGTAAGTAATTGCCGTCACATATCCTACCTATCATATCATCCCACTTTGCTCGCCATGTATAATTCCATCAAATTTGTCGAGTATCACGATTTTTCATCCAATAAATAATTGTATACGTAACTACGCTTCATTGCTCACGCTTATGGGAGCGCATACACCAATGAGTTTCCCAACCCACCCACGAATTCGCACCAACGTAAGGTCCAAGGGGTCGGTCCGTTAGTTAACTTAAAACAGTACTGAACAAATGTCTTAGACAACTAGTAAAAATAATTCAAACGGCGCACGGTGGGAAAAAAATCGGGAAAAGCTGGCCAAAAAGTAAAAAAAATGAAATTCCTAGTTTGGCACCTTTTCGTCCTGGAATGATTAGTAGGTACTCTAGATATTATGTAGTTGGGTTATTAGCGACCAAGTATCACTATGTTCGTTGTAATGTCATCCCGAAAGTGATATTTGCACGGGATACATTTAGACGGTATTATCACGCGCGCCGTCCGCTCCACGTAAACGTACATAAAAAGTTGTGTGATAGTGCGATTTAAACCGAAAGTTATGGATTCTCTTCTTCAAAGTATGTATAATTTAGTATCATATATGACATTTCAAATTTAGAACGCATAGAAAATTATTAACATTGCAATGGAAGTACTATTTTTTTAAACTACGTAGACAAAAGTTGTTTCTAAAGATAGACAAAAGTTTATGACTCGATCGCACTCGACCGATGATTTTTTATTTTTTAATTTTTCGTTGAATATTAAAAAAACAAAAACCAATGAATCCGCTGCAATTTTTGCCTACTTTCACTTCTGTGACCATTTTTATTAAATGGTATAAAACACGGCGATACGGTACCTTAGATTTATAGTGACTCCGATTGTGGGTCTAAGAGTAAGTAGCGTTAGCATAATGACTTGTAATACTCATGTAACTATAATAATTAATTAAACGTGTTGATATATAATACGAACAATTTATGCTATTTTGATTTTGACTTCATTTCAATGCAAATTTTTTAACATTTTTTCATACTGTTAGGGCGATTATGATGCCGCCATTTTTTATTTTTCTAAAACTAATATTAAAATCATTATCAGCTACCTCGAAAACCCCCAATACCAAATTTTAAATAGATTATGTGATTTTTGGAATTTCGCCCAGTTTTTCCCGATTTTTACCTACCGTGCAGCGTTACGAGACGAGAAAAGCGTCGGCGGCAAGGAGAAAAAGAAAACGCGTTACCTCAGTCCATCCTAACGATCGCGGAGAGGGCGGGGTCCTTTACGACAAGGAAACCAGAGTCGGAACTACGGTAAATGAAGATTTATTATACAAAAAAATTCAAAAGGACTATGGGCAGATCCACGATCAGGTACCGGCCCCGGGCAATGGAGAGCACGAAACAGAACCGCAGCTCTTCGATAACGAAAATCGGGAAAAGTCATATACGCGAAAATAACGTGGACATTCATTTCTGGGCATTAATACGGGCCGACAATAACTAAGGTAACTTGACAAAACTACCGAAGGTACTACTAGGTACAACCTAGGAAGATTTTCCAAGGATTAAATTCAATGCGAAGACGAAAGAATTTTTAATGTTTTATACACAGTATATGAATTGATTAAACATCTTTCTAGGCCCCAAAAAAATAGTTTTCGCCACCATTTCAAAGATTTCCTTAAGGGGGGAGATACATTTTGTCTGATCAAAAAATCGATTTTCGGTTTTTTGCATGTCCATATAGCTACAGTCTTGAAAATATTCCCTCCAAATATTAATAAGAAATTCGTAAAATTGGCGGAGTTATAGAGATTTGAATGGACGGGTGCGCGTCAGGTATATTATTATGCCCCAGTGCGGCGATTCATACCGACGCTTTGAACGCGTTTTTCTCGAAGCCACATTTTCCAAACTTACACCCACGATATCTCAGGAACTACTAAACCGATTCACCTAAAATTTTTTAGATGTTGTTCAGAGTATATCTCGCTATAGTTCCTACCGTTGAGAATAATCTACATAAAAAATGACGATCTGTACAACTTTAGAGACTGAAAATAGCTGCCGAATTGAAAAAAAAAATTCGTTATCGTGTCGCCATTTTGTGATTTTTCGATTTGTCAATGCGATCGAGCTACCGGTTGTAAAGGGTCACCTGATAAACCGTAATATATCTGGATTTTTTGTTTCGGATCAGTCAAACCGTGGGTACCGATGAAATGCAGCTTCTTGCGGTCCATTGCGACGAGCGAGTACGACGCAATGAAATGTTTTTGAAAAATTTGTACAAGCAGACAAAATATCAATAAATATGTATGAAAAAGGATTTTTCAATAGATCTTACGATTTCGGCACAAAAAATTCATGAAAATTCATTGAAAAAATTCCGGTCAATCTCCCCTCTTAAGAAACAGTATGTTGAGGTATATTAGTCGACACGATCAACGCCGCCCATTTATTTGATGTAGTTTATTTTAACATTGGGTTTTTTTACATTAACTTTTGCACCACGTAGTAAAATTCTTTTTACAGGAGTCAATCCTGCATTATCCCTGTCGCCGCGTATAGGCATGCCAGGCTACCTACTTTCACCTGGGTTATTCTTAGGACGGTAGATATTAATTTCTTGTGGATCACTTATTTTATTCCTTTCTGCTCTATGGTTTTACAAAGACTAACTCTAGAACTATGTAACTCAAAGCGTTCGCTGAATATATCACGAAGAAGGGGTAACATTCCAATTATTGGTCATCGTCGCTTAAATCTGAGCCTATCAAATCGGGTTCGTAATCCTCCCCATTCGACCTTTCACAAACCAAAAAGAGTTTAGAATTCCGGTACGGAACAATCCCAATTGGTTAAACATGTTACGACCCTCTTGTCTTTCCATGCTAAAACAAAGGTATTGCCTTTCCGATATGCTAGTATAGATCTGATACCAAATTTCGATTTTTTTATAAGATTTGGAAAATTCTTCCTATTTGTTAGGATCGTCCTGGTTAAATGACATTTCTGTTTCTGTAATTCTTCAGGTATACTGTTTGTAGAAGAATTTACTCGTACGCACGCGTAACCAGGTTATGATTTGAGAAATATATGATATGTGATGACATGTGATGTGTGATGTGTGATGCATGATGCATGATGCATGATGCGTGATGCGTGATGCGTGATGCGTGATGCGTGATGCGCGACGCGCGATGCGCGATGCGCGATGCGCGATGCGCGATGCGATGCGATGCGATGCGATGCGATGCGATGCGATGCGATGCGATGCGATGCGATGCGATGCGATGCGATGCGATGCGATGCGATGCGATGCGATGCGATGCGATGCGATGCGATGCGATGCGATGCGATGCGATGCGATGCGATGCGATGCGATGCGTGATGTGATGTGATGTGATGTGTGATGTGATATGATATAATATGAGATTATATTAAGGTCCGCCAGTCAAAAGCGGGTGAAGACGTAAAGACCCCGAAAGGGGTATAATGGTTATATTACCCTGCGGCGGTAGGACCTTTTCCCAGTTTACCCTGTCGAAGAACACAGCGAG